CTATAGATAATAGATGGGTTGTTGGTTACAATCCAGTGTTGACTCTTAGGTATCATGCACATATAAACGTCGAATGGTGCAATCAAGCAGGTGCTATAAAATATCTTTTCAAATATTTGAATGAAGGTTCCGACAGAGTTTGTTTCAAATACACTGTCAATGGTGAGATAATTAGGGAACAGTTGGATAAAGGTCTAAAAGATGAGGTTAAAGATTGGTACGAAGGAAGATATCTGTCAGGTTGTGAAGCTGCATGGCGTATGTTTTCATTCCCTATACACTACAGGTCACATCATGTTGAACGTCTAAGTTTCCATATGCCTAGTCAACAGAATGTTGTCTATGATGAGGATCAAACTGTTGAAACTATTGTCATCAGGGCTTCCAACAGGCATTCACAGTTTACTGCTTGGATGGAAGCTAATTCCATTTACACTGAAGTTAAAAGTCTCACATACATCAATTTTTCAAAATATATTGTGTGGAAAAAGAAAGAAAAAAAGTGGACGCCAAGACAAAGAGGCTCAAGTATTGGTAGAATCCATGGAATCCCTATAGCTGCTGGTGAACCTTACTACCTAAGGGTTCTACTTAACATAGTCAAAGGTCCTACATGTTACGAAGATATCATGACAGTCAATGGAACAGAATATTCAACATTAAAAGAAGCTTGCTTTGCAAGAGGGTTACTTGATGATGACAAGGAATACATAGACTGCATAAGGGAAGGTTTTACATGGGGTTCAACAAATTACTGCAGAAATCTTTTTGCACAATTATTAGAAGGTGACATTGTGTCGCAACCTGATCATGTATAGAATGAGACTTGGGACTGTTACACAGAAGACATACCTAAAAGATTGAAATGGTTATATAGGAATGAAGGTGATTTGTTTATATTCTAATATTTTATATTTGCCGTATATTTTTAAAATTTATGCATCTAATGTTAATTACTTTATTCCCTTCATGTTAATATACATATTACAATGTTTCTGAAGACGAAATGAAGATGCATGCATTGAAGGACATTGAAATTATTTTACGATCTCATGGTAAAAGTCTAAAGGATTTCATGGTATGCCATATCCTGGAGACGTGTTCATTGATGATGGTACAAATTCAATGATCCACGACGAATTAGATTATGACAGATCATCACTGAAAGAAGAACATGATGTTCTTTATTCTAACCTTACTGCCGAACAACTGGAAATCTACAAAGAGATATTAGCTGCAGTTCAAAAAGGAAATGGAGGTTTGTTTTTTGTATATGGGTATGGTGGAACTGGAAAGACGTACGTGTGGCGTACAATTTCAACTGCAGTATGCAAAGAAGGAAACATTGTACTCAATGTGGCATTGAGTGGTATTGCTTCTTTACTGTTGGTAGGTGGAAAGACAGCTCATTCAAGGTTTCAAATTCCCATCAATGTGACAAATGATTCAACATGTACTATAAAAGCATGAAGTGATCTATGTGCTTTGGTAACAAGAGCAAAACTTATCATATGGGATGAAGCCCCAATGGTACATAAGCATTGTTTTGAAGCTCTTGACAGATCACTAAAGGATGTACTAAGACGTTCTAATCCAAATGGTTCATATCTTCCATTTGGAGGTAAAGTTGTTGTCCTTGGAGGTGATTTCAGACAAATATTACCAGACGTTCCTAAAGGTACCAGAGCAGATATTGTCAACTCTGCGATAAATTCATCTCATCTATGGAGACATTGTAAGGTTCTGAGATTGACTATTAATATGATATTACGTGGTGGGAATAATGTAACTGACACTGAGGAGATACGTGAATTTGGGGATTGGTTGTTAAAAATTGGGGAAGGCAAGATCAATGAACCAAATGATGGAGAAGCTGAAATTGTTTTCCCAGATGAAGTCATCATACAGGCTCCTAGAGATCCTATAGAAGCCATCGTCAGTACTGTATATCCAGATTTGCTCAACAGTTTAAATGACGCTGCATGGTTTCGGGAAAGAGCAATATTATGTCCAACCCATGAGGTTATTGACAAAGTTAATGACTATATGATAGGATTATTGCCCGGTGAAAAACATGAATATCTCAGTTCAGGTAGTATGGAAGCTTCAGAACATGGATCTGAAGCTGACCAGGGTATTTAACACTCCTGAATTCCTCAACAGAGTAAAAGTTTCTGGGCTTCCTAATCATAGGTTGGTTCTGAAACTTAATGTTCTGATCATCTTACAGCATAATGTTGATCAAAGGAAGACTATGCAACGGTACAAGATTATAGATTACACGGATGGGACGTTATATCATTGAAGGTAGAGTAATATCTGGTAGTAACGTTGGTGATGTAGTACCTATTCCTTGGATGAAAATTGTCCCAACAGACAACAATATTCCTTTCAAAATGAAAAGGAGACAGTTTCCTATAGCGGTATGTTTCGCTATGACTATTAATAAAAGCCAAGGACAGTCTCTTTCTACAGTTGGACTATTTCTACCACGGCCTGTCTTTAGCCACGGACATCTATATGTAGCACTGTCAAGAGTAACATCTAAGAGAGGTCTGAAAGTTCTGATTTGCAATGATGATGGAACAAGATCCAAGTCTTTACTTTACATCTCAGTGGACAATAAAATTATATTTATGATGTAAATTATTTTCAGTAGAGATTTAATTATTTAACTATTGAATTTCAGGTGTGTTTACATGTTTTAAACAATTTTAGCACTTTCAGAATTCTACTATCATCTTACATATATTATACAGATTATTTAGAACATCCATAATTATTTTGATAAATGAAAACAGTACATAAACCAACAGATAGGGGTTTCATATATAAACAAATAATCTGTTCTAAAACTTCATGTATACTTAAATCAATCCATAAACATCTTTCTAATTTCGATCCATATCAAAATGAATAAACCGTAGATTTGGTAAGAATAAACTTCCTTACCTTAGCTGGAACAGAAGAATCTTCCAGTGACCGTCCCAATAGCAACTCTCGAGAAAGGTACCATCTCATGGTCCAGCTACAACATCAGGAAATTTACGAATCCAAAAAAAAAACCAAGAACAAAAAAACAATTTAGGGTTTGTAAATAAACAAATAGTTCCCTCTATAGTATTCATATAGATTAAAAGAAGAAAATGATATTACTATACCAAAAAAATCACCATCACCTGTTAGATCTGAAATCATCGACGGGTTTTCGATTCGTTTGTAAACTCAGATTTTGTTGCTGTCTAAGTTCCATGATTAGCTCAAAAAATCTAAATATACTTGATTCAAATGTACAAAGGAAAGGGAGATGTAAGATCTAGACTTTTCCCCATTCGAATGAAGAATCTTCACTCTTCCCCTTTTTGTAACCAGCTTCGATTCACACAAACTCCTCCTACATTCGCCGTGTAATTCTTTTGCACAGAAACAGAGTACTTAAACAGAAATTTGATTGCAGAAAATGGAATTATTTCAGATTAGAAAAGGACTTTCGAGACCAGTATTGTTTTTTCCGAAATGTTGTGTTTGAAACTGTTTTTGTTTCCTAAAATTGACATTCGTTTCCTCTTTTATTTTTTTTTAGAAAAAAAAATCCGGAATAGTTAATTGGACTGCAGGCCTGGAATTTGAGTTCAAATTGGACACTTATGTGGAGTTGTAAATTATGTTTTGGGCTCGCACAAAAAAATACAATACAAACTGATATTTTTTTCTTTTTTATTGTCTTGCTAATTTTAAAATAGACAATACAAGCAAAATATTACTAATATATACTTTTTTGCTACACTGTGTAAATTTTAACTATTAATAATTTGTATTTACCAATATATCATTTTTTTAATGAAACTAATATAATATTATTTGTATACATAATTTAACATTTTATATACATATATTTATATATGTCTGTAAATAATTTTTTGTAATTCATTTTAATAAATAAAGTTAAAATACGGCGGCGCCCGGGCATCATCTAGTTTTTAATTGACAAAAAAACCTTAAAAATTCTTGTTAACAATCAAGAGAACACAACAAAAGTGAAATATATTTTCAAGGTATTTTTTGATTAAAAATACATATTAGGTGAAACCCATGACAAGTCAAAATGCCTTATATTAAAGACCGGATGGAATATCTCAAACAAAATTGAGTGTTTTTTTACTTCTAAGCGAAGGAGTCTGGCATCCGGTTTTCTATTAGGGTTGAGAGCTTGAGAGTTTCTAACGAGAAATAGTCTGGGAGGGAAGAAAGGAAGCGTGAAAAATGTCTAAAATTGAGTAAATAGAGATAAATTCTAAAAATGTATTTTTGCTTTTATTGTATTCTCCGGTTATTTTTATTATAAAATTCTTCAATGTTTTGTTTTTTCAATTGAGAAAAAATAATGAATAAAATTTAGAACAAATCAAAATATTTTATAAATCAGAACAATATCATTATTCACTATTAAACTTTAATTAATTAATTACTTAGTTATCATTGTACCAAAAGAAAAATTAATTACTTAGCTAGAATCTTTGGTCATGGTGACTTCCAAACTCAAGAGTGTTGATGGCTGTGAGTTTTTCAAATAAGAGTGTTGATGATTTTGTGAGTTTTTCAAATAAGTAAAACTCTTTCTTTAATAATTAGGTCCATACCATCAGTCATACCATCAGTCATAATCATTAATTTTTCTTTAATTTTTCTTTTTCCATACTATCAGTCATAATCATTTGTTTGTTTGTATTCTACCCAATAAGTTCCAGAAAAATAATATCATTATCCTAATAAACAAATACAATACAGTGAAAATGATTTCTGAGATACGTCTTTAAAAAAGTTAACATTTTAATTCGATGAACTAATCTTTTTTTTTTGGTTAAAGCTAATATTCTTTTTTATATATGAAAAGAGAAAAGAAATCTCTCTATCCTGAAAAGAAATAGTCCATATCAAATTGTGATATTTGTATTATATTTTTATAAGACACAAAATTTATAAAATCAATTCAAATTTGTGTTTTATTGCGTTTTTGCAATTGAGAAAAAATATTAAGATCGGCTGTCGGATAAGGAGTCTGACTAACCGACGTCGTTCAGCTAAATTGTTATGTAAATAGCTCTGCCGTCAATCGTTGATTTTGCCTGTGTGTCCGCCGACCCCATCGGCCGAATCCCTCCCGTAGCTGTTTTTGTTATTTGTTTATATAAAACCCTAATTCATCTCCCTCACACTCGGTTCAACCAAAACAACCGCCATGGATCAGCTTCTGTCTTCCTATACAGACGCCGACGACGAGGAACAACTCTCCTCTCCGGAATCTTCTCCGGTCAGAACCCTCCCGGCGAAATCTTCCGCGCCCACGGTAGACGACACCATGTTAGCTCTTACGGTTACCGGTTCCAAAGGCGGGCAATCGAAGCCCCTGGATCCGACCCAGCATGTGGTTTCGTTCAACCCGACTTATGACCAGCTCTGGGCGCCGATTTACGGTCCGGCGCATCCCTACGCCAAAGACGGCATCGCCCAAGGGTTACGGAATCACAAGCTAGGGTTTGTCGAGGACGCCGCCATCGAGTCCTTTGTGTTTGACGAGCAGTACAATACGTTTCATAAGTTCGGTTATGCTGCGGATCCCTCCGCCAATAATATCGTCGGCGATGCGGATGCGCTTCAGGAGAATGGTGGATTGTCGGTGTATAATGTCCGGCAGAACGACCATAAAAGGAAGAGGATTGAGAAGAAGAAGGAGAAATTGGAGAAATTAGGCGAAATTGATGTTGGAGAAGAAGACGAGGAAGGTGGTAATGGTGTGGATAATCCCGCGAGCGAGGCGTGGATAAGGAAGAATAGTAAGAGTCCTTGGGCTGGGGAAAGAGAAGGCGTAGGCGGAGAGTTGACCGAGGAGCAGAAGAAGTACGCCGAGGAACACGCCGCGAAGAAGAGGAAGGAAGGAGAAGGGGAGAATGAAGGTGGTGCTGGTAAAGGCAATGCCGGCGGCATGGTTGATAAGAGTACTTTCCATGGGAAAGAGGAGAAGGATTATCAAGGAAGGTCGTGGATCGCTCCTCCTAAGGATGCGAAAGCTACTAATGATCATTGTTACATACCCAAAAGATTGGTGCATACTTGGAGTGGACATACTAAAGGGGTTTCGGCCATTCGATTCTTCCCCAAGCATGGTCATTTGATACTGTCAGCTGGAATGGACACTAAGGTGAAGATATGGGATGTGCACAATTCAGGAAAATGCATGAGGACTTACATGGGGCACTCCAAGGCAGTTAGGGATATCTGGTTTAGTAATGATGGGAGCAAGTTCTTGACTGCCAGTTACGATAAGAATATCAAGTACTGGGATACAGAAACAGGGCAAGTTATATCAACTTTTTCGACTGGAAAGATTCCGTATGTAGTGAGGCTTAATCCCGATGAGGATAAGCAGAATGTGCTTCTGGCTGGGATGAGTGATAAGAAAATTGTACAATGGGATATGAATACAGGGCAGATCACTCAAGAATATGATCAGCATTTAGGAGCTGTTAATACAATCACTTTTGTTGATAATAATAGGAGGTTTGTTACTTCAAGCGATGACAAATCCCTTCGTGTTTGGGAGTTTGGTATTCCTGTGGTTATAAAATATATCAGTGAACCTCATATGCACTCAATGCCATCCATTGCCTTGCATCCCAACTCCAACTGGCTTGCTGCACAAAGTTTGGATAATCAGATTCTTATATATAGTACAAGAGAAAGGTTTCAGCTTAATAAGAAGAAGAGATTTGCAGGGCACATTGTAGCTGGTTATGCCTGCCAGGTCAACTTTTCACCTGATGGGCGATTTGTCATGTCTGGAGATGGTGAGGGCAAGTGCTGGTTTTGGGATTGGAAGAGTTGCAAAGTGTTCAGTAAACTTAAATGTCATGAAGGGGTGTGTATTGGAGTCGAGTGGCATCCACTGGAGCAGAGTAAGGTTGCTACATGTGGCTGGGATGGTTTGATCAAATACTGGTATGAACTTTATCTCTTCTTTAGTATAATAAGCAGTTGCATCTTGTTCACTCACATATTACTTTCATGCTTTAAATTGTATTATAGTGTTTTCTCAACTAAGAGTCTCACTTAGGAATATTTTCGAACTTATTAGAAAGAAATTTCATAGAACCTGAAGAACTCTATTTTGTCTTAAGCATTATGAACTTATGTGTGATGATGCTTTAATTTGTGCCTTGATGCCTTCCCTACTAAATGAAACTCGCTTAGGAATAGTAACGAACTTCTTAGAACAAGCCATATTTGTGCAGCTTGTAGACCATACATAGTTTTTTTTGGGCTTTACTTTTCATAACGATCTGCAAATATTGAGAACATAAGTTCTGAGATGGAGAAGTATGGTAGCCTAAATTCAGCAAACAAATACAATGATTTCAGGATGACCTAGTTTGTTTGGATGATTTACTGATGTATTTGGTTTTTGTTGCTACCTGAATGAGTCTGATGTTAGTATTCTGGTTTGTAGTTGGGTTGTCAGGTCCTCCTTTCCCTTATCACCTTTTGGCTACAGTCTTGTGTATCATAATTTAGAATGTAGTTTGCCGTAAGTGGAACTTAATATAAGGTGTTGGCTTCAAATGACTATCTTTTCTGTTTTGAACAATTGGGACCTTATAGATTTCAGCTTGTTGGATGTATTCCTTAACCATGTTTAATTTTAGACTCTGTCTACATGTGAAACATTGTCAATTTGTCATCCAGTTTCTAATATCATCTGCGCTCGATCCTCCTGTTGAAGAAATTTTCTGTAACTCTTGATATGATTCTTGGCTGAGAAGTGCTTAAATTAGAACATTGTCTTTTAAATTCTACTTTTGCTAATTCAGAATGAAATTGGAATAGCAGTGTCTGTATGTTAACTCTCTTGTGACCTTAAGAACGTTTCTACTACAGTTTGCTATCTTAGTTTAATCCTATAGTTAGGCTGGGGGTTGACAGTTTCATATGCTGTGACGAATTCATGATCAGTGTGTGTAGTAAGTTGAAGAAAGCTTAACGATTATCTTCTGTTTTTCAGGGACTAGTGGTGAAGCTGCAGATTGTACCGAATTTGTATGGTCAAGCCGGTCAATTGGTTTGAAGTTGGCGTGAGTTTAGGCTTCAGCATAGTTGTAAAACTATCGATGATCAGAATTTACTATGTTGTACTGTACTATCCTCTAGATTTAAGTCAAATCAGGTAAATTTAGGTCGCTGTATCTGTTGTGAAAAAGCAGTCGTTACTAATCTTTGGTTTGCCTGAAATCCACTAATTTTAATTTTTTTTACCTGTTCTTATACCTTTTGCTTTTTCTCTTTTTGTTTTCAGTGCCAACTGGTACTGGGTAATCCACTAATTCTATACTTTGCACATAGTTTAAAAAACTCTTAAATAGGGTAATAAAATTACTTGAATATCCTCAACCAACCCCATTATAAAATTATTCACCAATAGCATCAATTCTTTTAAAGGTAATTTTGGAAACTTTTGACAAAAAGTGCATTAAAATGTGATAACAATACTTATTTTGGAATTTTTCCATTTGAAATTTTTTCATTTTGCTAAAACGACACTTATTTTGAAATGGAGAGAGTATATATTTGTGTAGTAATAAATTGAGCATGATTATCTGGAAGGGCTTTAGAAACGAACAGTAAAAAATGAGGTTCTTCAGAAATTTACAGAAGCTGGTCAGATTTAATCGTTTTAATTCCAATTTGACGGAGTATTTTGTTCGAGATCACTTCAAAATTTACATGGAATACCAGCATACAAATATCCCCATCTTAAAATGATTTATTATCATGTGATATTTTGAGGATGGAGTGTGTATTAACATTTAAAAGTGCATCGGATAGGATTGCTCTCCCATCTGGATGTTAAAGTAGAGACACTGGTTCATCAGATAACAAGCATTGAGCGCTGAACAATACATTTTAAACTGGCAGTTCATTTTTGAGAACAAGAACAACCCCCATCGTTGTTAGTAGCCGACTTGAAACTATGTTCCCATATATCAGATGGAGCAGCTTCCGCATGCGGAACATGTCGAGGATGCTTCTCTCTCTTATCTCCTTTTACTTGCTTTAAAGCATGTTTAAGGACAGGTAACAATGCCTCCATGCATTCCGCAACCGCATTTGGGTTTCCAGGCATATTAATGATCTATGCAAAGCATTCACAGTAGAAATTCAGATGAGGAAGGTTCCCAAAATTCTAACATTATAACTAAATTTAAAACACTATAGAGTTGTAAATGTGGAAACATACTTCCAGTAAGGATTCTACGAGAGTAGTTCTTTTCATAAAAAAAAACTACTCAACCATAGTTACCGACTAAATATTGTTTTAGGCTTTAATACAGATCCCCATCTACAAATGGCAAATATTAGAAATTCTAAATAGCCATGTCCATGATAGTGTCATCACACAAAACAAGAGGTATATTCATGGTATCATTCTGTTCAGTTAGCAACTTCCGTCAACAAACATCGAATCCTTCTGACTGCCTTCACCATTATCAAGCTATTCAACTGATTCCTATTTCACTCAGTATAATCAAGTAAATGAGGCATTTTCCTTTTTACAAAAAGTAATGTGACTTACTAGCTGCTAATTGTGAAAATTTAAAACAAAACTCAATCTTTAATATCCCCCCTCCCCCTTTTTATCCCTGGTAAGTACTTTCAACCGGTTTTACTCGCTTTCTGACAAATGTAATTGCTGATAGAAATGTAGTTCGGACAATCATCACAACTGAAAATCCCCCCAGCCGTGAGAGAACCTTACAAAAGGGAAACAGTAATCTATGTAGTTATTAATCTTTTCGACCATACTATTTCATTAATGTCAGCAATGATATTCCTTACAACAAAGGAAGAGTGCAATAAGTAAGATTGTAGAAAAGTAACATGGAACAAAACACATCTTCCTTTCCATTACCCATTATTTCTTCTACCCACTTCATATAAACCACAAAAAGCTTCTAGAGTCTACAAGCCAGTACGTATTCACTAAATACTTCAGAGCACAGAAAGAACAGGTTACCCACACAGTTCCACCAATCAAGGAGTCTAATAGGTTAAATTATTAAGAGAAACTCCTTTGCGAACAAATTACTGATTAGTGCTAGTATATTGGTGAGGGACTTTTCATGTCTAATAGTTAGCAACATAAAAAAGCTCACCAGTGTTGTCCCCCTTATTCCTGCTGCAGACCGTGACAGCACAGCAAAAGGTGTCACCTGGACATATTTCAATATATAACTACAATTAGTACGTGAATCATAAACAGGGTATCAAACAGACTGAAAGTTAGTAACGCACAAACAAAATCAGAAGCTTCTCCTATCACGAGGAGGAAGAGAAGCATGCAGAATTTGGTATCAACATGACGCAGGACAAAAACGTGGTGGTTAAGAAATCAGAACTTAGGCTGATTAAAGAGTAGTATGCAACGGAAACTAAAAGAATCTGTAGGAAAACAATCTTAGAAATCGCAGGAAAACAAGGATTAAGGGTAGGAAAAGAAGAAGAGAAGAAACCTAAGAATCACTCTTAAGGCCCTTTGGCGTCACACCGCAGGAATCCTAGGCATCACACCAAGGATTTAGTTGAGTCACACAACTATTGCAAAGGAAAGCTTATTGCAGGAATTTTTATTAATCAACGTCTCTAAAAAATCTCCTCATATGAGGTACATATAAATAGGCCTAAAACTTAACCTAAACCAAAGACAACTAGGATTCTCACCTAATTTCCTTTTTATTCCAAGAAATTCTTGTAGCATAGCTAATACACTAAAATACCCTTTCCTAAATATTAATACTGAAATAAATAATTAAATTACTGCTTAATAAAAGATTATATATCCAAAAGATATATAGAAAAGTAAATGAATACTTTAATATCGTTTTTTTTTTTTTTTTGGCTGTCTTGTTGAAGAGTTCTTTTTCCCCCATAAAATCCATTTCATGGCATATTCATATTTTAGAAAATGAAAAACTATCCTGTTTGAGTACTTAAACAAATTACAGTTGCACCTCAGAGTGCCTCAAACATTGAAAAAAGAAAATTTGTATTCTACCAAAAACTTCATAATATTACTAGCAAACTTGATTCTTTAGAAGATATAAAACGAATCATCCTCCCGAATTATCCAACACAAAATGAATACTAAAAAATGAAAATATAAACAGATCGTTGAAAAAAGTGCACCAATTACATGAACTCCGTGAAGTTGGACCCGGTAACTTATCCAACACTAAATGTAGAGTGCTTTGATTAATTAGGAAGACAAATTTATAACCTGGAACAAGAGATGAAATCAGAAGTTAGCCTGCTGGTACCTTCAAACTCTCTTGCATCATGACATACAGAAGACCAGGTGTTTCTTTATCTATTACATCTTTTGTGGCTTCAGGAGTAACATCTCTGGGAGTGAAGCCCGTACCCCCTAATTAAATACACACATTATTACATTAAATATAGGGAGAAAGAGAGAAGTGCCGGAAGATGCTTATTTCTGCACTAAATGCATAGGCCAAAACTACATATAATAAACTAAGTAAGATTGAAATGTGATATCTATTATAAGAGTGAAAAAATAAAGGGCTCACTTTAAGGACATGAGTTCAAAGAGACGACAGTAAAACCACATTTTAGCCGATCACGAGAGGATAATTATTCTTTCAATGATAATTTCATCACAGCGATATTTGAAGTTTTGTGATGGACAGAAACAGAAAGTAAATTACATAAAAAATCAGGGACAACTTAACTATATAAGAGATTGGTCGCAAGTGTGTATTATTATAACCCATAGCATAAGATGTAATCTGTCAACCAATTATTGTAATTCCATTGACCAAAGGACAAATACATTGAACTAAAGCACATATTGCTAAGTGAACTATCCTTCACAAGCTACATGGAAAAAATATGAAAAATGAAAAGGACAAGGGAATCAGAAATCAACAAACCCAATGTCAAAATCAGATCCATCTTCTCGACATCACTCCATTGCAGCAAAACATCCTTGATTTGCGGCACGTCATCTGGAACAACTGCAGTTGCAGCTACCCTGGCTCCTCCTAATCTTTCTGATGCCGAGTTTACAACTGATATAGCTCGTGGACCACTGCACAACCATTTGAAGATTTCTCAGCAATTTTATGCTGCAGAAGAAAGACTAAAATTGACAACATGAAGGGCCCTCTAAAATCGTCACCATTCACCGACTTTTTTTGGAACATGTGGATAAATGATATACATTAAATTACTATTGCAGATTGAACAACTGAAAATTGGAAAATATAAGATAAACAACTTTAATAATAGACCCATTATTGCACACCCTAACTCTTCCTTTCTGCTAGTCCTAACTAAGTAGCGGCTCCATCCTGCAGTTTAACAATCTGCAACAGTATGTAGCAAAGAACACGAATATTTCCCCGTTTCACTCTGAACAGGAACATCAACTTTGCATGTTTCATTTGGCATCAACAAAGTGTCCTCTCTGAAATGATGATTCAGAAAGGAGTATCCTGATGCAACTTTTTGTATCTTATCAGGTTCAGGGTTCAGAATATACTCTGATATAGGCAAAAACATAGAAGGAAAAAAAAAAAAAAAAAAAAAAACCAGTAACTCACAGTTCATCACCCCACTCCACCTCTCCCTCCCTTGCAGTTTATATATATATATATATATATATATATATAGAGAGAGAGAGAGAGAGAGAGAGTGAGAGAGAGAGAGAGAGTGAACAAAAATTCATGTATAGGTGCAAGATAAAACTACCAATAAGGTACCTTCTGTCGGGTCCTTTCCCTGTTGCAACAGTATCACTCACAGTTAGGATAGCTACTCTGTACTCCGTACCCTCAGATGATTGACCAATATTTCCTGTTTGCGATGAACTTTTTGGAGAAGCAGAAATAGACCTGATATCAGATATTAAAATTGCTGGCACAAGAGATCCAGCAGGGATAAGCTTTCCTGATGCAGGTAATTGGAGTAATGCATTTGCAGACTTCATACTCAGTAGTCGACTGCTCATTTGATGTCCAGTACTCTCAGCCACAAATCTGGAACATGCACAGAAGAGCAAAAAGTTATCTGTATACTCTTGTTTCTTCTGTACTCTAGCCTTTGAACAATAAAATGGCATAGAAAGCTAGGCAGGACCATAAATCATCACTTAGTTTCTTGCAAAAAAGAGAAATCAAACAGTTCTAAAACAAGAGAGATAAAGGACATAAACTCTTACCCAGGTAAGCCATTTGCTTTATCAAATTCCCAACTAACAATTGCACGATGAAATTCTGGACGCATTGCATCAGACTTTATTGACTGCTTAAGACGAGCATGCACTCTGACCACAATGAAGAGGAATTTGCACATTAAAACTGAGGCAGTGGCCATAACTTGAGATCAATTCACAAATTAAAAAGGGAAGGACTAGTGGAACCAGAAGCTTAGAAAAATGAAGGGAGAAATAAAAATGGCACAAAACTTTTAAAATTTCAAGGAACCTTGGAAGATTAGGGTCTGCCCATCCAGAAAGACGTCGAACTGCAGGGATTACAAAAAGATTGAAACAGACTAGACAGCTTACGGGATTTCCAGGCAACCCAAAAGCAAGGATCTTATTCAAACCCGTGTCCTCATTCGATCCATGAACAACCTCAGCAAAAGTGAGGGGCTTTCCTGGTTTCATTTGAACCTGAATGAGAGATCAGTCCTTGTAATGAACTGAAGTAAATGAAACATATGTCGAATTACAGTGAGAATGAATAAGGAATTTGCTCCCAATTACCTTGTCAAAATGAATTTTCCCTTTCTTTTCAAGTAACGGCTTGACATAATCTCTATCTCCCATAGAAACACCACCTGACGTAATGATGATATCAACCCCAGCAGAAACTGCACTTTCCAAAACTCTTTCAATCTCTACCATGTCATCGCGAGCTATACCCAGGTCAAGAACTTTGCAGTGCTGCTGTAATGCAGCAGCAAGAAGCATCGCACGGTTGGAATCTCGAATCTGTAAAAATTGTAACGGCTTTCAGAACTAAAATAATATGAAAAACAGAAAGTCAAAGAAGCGGAAAATTATATTGCATAACTATTATGGAACTATTAGTGGAATCTTAAATTTTAACTGCAGTCACACCAGCTGGAGTTCCTTTGATGCACAAGAAATATAGGTCGCTTCATATCAGGTTTTACGAAAATAAGTAGAATCTTCTTGGAATTAAGTTTCCTTTTAGTTTATTTTCCTATTTGCTATATTACGTTAATTATTAATTAGTTTTAGGCAATCCTCATAGCTTAAGAAGAAAAGCCAGACATCTCTATAAGCAGGGAGGTTCTGCAGCAGTTGTGATTCACGTTATGATATTGTTATAATTATAAGCTTTTAAGCTTTGAAACTGTCTTTCATAAATCCCTAAAGCTAGGGTTTGCTTCTCTCATTACTTTCCAAATCTGTCAGCCTATTCCCATCATCCTTACAAAGCAGCAAGCAACCTTCTGAAACCCAGATGTAGACATGGTTATCATGGATAAACTTACATGTTAGAAGAAAGCAAAGTGCACAGCAACCAGGAAGTCAAAGGGGCAATGACAAAATATTTAAGCATGTTCGCTAATCACTACACATGCCACATTTTATTCACGATGTAATAAGGTTTTATTTTGAGAAGTGGTCAGGATAACGCACTCCAAAATCAAATAAATAATAACCAAGAACATTATTCATGATGCAATAATGTTTTACTTTGAGAATAGGTCTGGATCATCCCAAAGTCAGACAAATAATGACCAGAAAGTGTACAGAAACAATATCATCCTCCGTATTCTTTTGTGGTGAAAGAGAAGATAAGAAAAACCTATTTCTTATCTAAGAATTCAGGACTTGATTAATGTGGTGCTCTCTACTTCTGTGAAGAATCGTAAATCAGTTTGACCTCAGTGAATGAGTGTTGGCTTATGTTTAGTCAAATGCAGGTCTCCATCAGAATTGGATTTTGATCCCAAGTTTGAAACATACATGATCAATTTAATTTCTTGCATTGTTGCAAAATATTAACCTTGAGCTAGATCCTAAATGACAACTAAGCTTGTAAACCAATGTTGGTTTGGTTACATAGCTACTGTTTAGTGGTCGTGACTTTTACCCCACTTGAGCTTGATTCCGTGAAAAGCACATCTAAAATTAACATGGCGAAAGAACAACATAAAGAAGAGAAGACAAAGATGAACAATTAGCAACTCTCGATAGAAATCAACACACCTGACCCTGAGCTAAATTTCCAACTTCTGGCTCCACAAGTTCATCACCAGTGGAAACCACAGCAATCGTCGGAGCAGGATAGACCTATGTAAAAATTAATTTCAGAGAGTTTTCAGATAATATTTCCTACAAGTAATATCAAGCAGGGAGGACAATGAGAAAAAAAATAAAATAAAAAAATAGCAAAGGGAGGGAAGGAAATACCTTGACCATGACTATACCCACTGTTGCAAGGAGGCCAATTTCGGCTGCATCTAATCGTTCCCCAGATTTCAGCACCAGATCACCTTTCTTAATGTCACATCCCTAAAGTATACAACAAACAGAAGCGCCAAGAATTAATTTCTAAATAACACTGGATGCAAAGAGTGGAAGCAGCACATTAGCTACCTTTTAAAGACAAAATCCTTAAGTAATTTCACTAGAAAAACTAGCATTCAGGTATGTAGAGGAAGCAGATACCACTGGGCGAATATCAACACCAGGGCTAGTTTGTTTCAAAATCTGCACCCTCTTAGTTTCTGTTGGAGCATTCTCTACTAATTGAGTATCCTCCACTTGCACAACAGCATCTGCTCCATCAGGTATTGGACCTGGAGAAATTTAAGAACAGGAAGCAAAGTGTAAGTGAATGAACTTAACAGAAGCGGAAATCATACAAATTTCCAGAACTAGAGAATTACAATTTCTTTTGGCACAAACATGGTGAAGAGAGATTAGAGGACAACGTCCTCTCTCTACGCCCAATCTTCTGCAATAACTTTGGCGTAACATCCCCTTTAACATTATTTGTAAATATATGCCACGTGTCTTTTTAGATTATAATCTAGTTTCAAGTAGCGAACCAAAGAAAATAACTGAATCTGCTAAAACTTCATGAACTAACTACATAACCGAACTCTTTATCTGTTCCTCACATTTCCAGTTAACCAAGGCTCTCTTACGTTAGCCCTTTCATTAACTCTCCATCAAGACAACACAACAGACATACCAACTGCAGGGTTCACATTTTCCCCGAGAAAAATTGCATGGCTAGTTTTCGGGAAATCATTACCTCCTTACCAGCACACAGTAACAGTATTGGACTAACACAGCCAATCAAAAGCTCCAAAAGGAAGGTAGGATATTCATATACTTCATCAAAGAAGCAAATATCAAAAGAAAACTTCAAATCAAAAGCACAGGTTATCATTAGCACCAACTCCGGGTGAAAGGAAGAGAAGTTTGCACACAACAAAAGAGATTTCAGCATTTTGCACTTTAGTTAAAATATTCAATTCTTCCCCACGATTAACTTAAACAGCCAGAATGTGTTGACTGAAAAAAAAAACTAAACCAAACAAAATCAGCTGAACTCACCTAAAAGGTCAGGAATGACACCTGAACTTAAATTTTTCAAAATTGAAATCTTTGTTCTCATTCATGGCTAACAAAAATGAGAATCTTGCATTCCCAGAGTATCCCCTATTGTAAAACTTTTTTATTAGGACGCCAATCACCAGTCAATAAGTTTAACTAATTACTATGCAAGGAAACTAAGAGAAGGGCATCAATCAAATTTCAAAAGATAAGAATAATGGATCGGCAACAGGACATGCTGTGCATTCAAAATTGTTCCTGACGTCTCAAACAATTTCTAGGCCCACAAGAAATTCGGTGACTTCAATACAGTATTTGAACAGACAACAAGATGAAAAATATGCATGTAAATAAAACTGATACAATATCGAAATTTGTTGCTTTCAGGGCAACTTTTTAAGTTATAAAATTCAATATACTTACCTCCTGTTGTCACATATGCAATGGTTCCAGAAGTCACAGTGATCCCAACTGCATCATTTCCAGCTCTTGATTCCGTAATCACAGGATATTCACCAGGACCGTCTGAGGCAACTACAGCATATCCATCCTGAATCACAATTTTAATGCATTAGGATAGGTCACCAGAGTTACTACAGCTGCTGAAGCTGATTCAGTTTCTATCCTTGTTTCTAGTCAGCAGGTAAGATCTTGAATCAAAACTCCCAACCTCAAGACGACTAATTCATCAATCAAGTATAGTACAAGATATTACAAAAATAGCAGCAGCTCTTAATTTATTCGAAATTTGATCTTTCCATTTTAAGGACCCGCCTAACATAGACAGTAATCTACCAATTACAACTAAAAAAATCGATCCCTTCCACATTGGCATCCAATTTACTATTCTTGTCGCAACAAAAAGCCATCAAGTAACAGATACCCAATGTTTGCAAAAACATAAGCACACCACATCCAAAATGTAAATGCAAGTTTTTCACTGAGTCCCATCAAAGTCAAGATTGGCAGTTTAACACTTCACCCATCAAACCAAACATTGTTAAGTTCCAAAATGCAGTCCCAATACCAAAAAAAAAAAGGCAATGTCAACAGCACTAGAGAAACCAAAGAATACAACAACGATAAATTTTTAATCTGAAAGCATGACCAAAAGCCCACATAATTTCATACTAACCCACATCCAAAACTGCAACCAACATCAAATAATTCGTACATTCAACAATAAAATAGTAGAAAAAAATATTTTTTTTTTTAAAAAAAAAGAAGGAACCTTGACGGATGCAGGGTAAGGAGGAAGAGGGTCAGGAGCATGAATATCCTCAGCCAAAACTTTGTCAAGAGCATCCTGAAGGGGAACAGTGACAGGTGGCAGCCGCTGAGACACTGTCAACACTATTTCGAGTGCTTCTTCAACCGATTTCATCGTCTCAAAAACAAAAAAAAAAAAAAAAACCTACTGTTTACTTGGGATTTTCCGGTTGATATCAATTCTCTTGGAGACAGAGAACAATATAACAGTCTTTTAAACAAGCGAATGGGCAATGATGAGGGACCGAATCAGCAGCAGTTGACTAAAATATGGATTTTTTCTCTTTTTTTTTTTTAGAGACTAAAAATATGGATTGATAATGAAATAAGGTTTTGCTTTAAAGAAGTGGGAAAAAAAAAAATCAGTATTGTTATTTCTACACACTTAAAATTACTCACTTCCAAAATAAAAAAGAAGGAGAAGGACACCACTAGGACGATTCTCTGTGTCACTTTTTATTGCACTCTTACACAATTTAATAACTTTGTGTAATTTTATTGTTTGTATTAATATTTACAATCAATGTTGAAATTATATATTTTAAGAACTAAAGATACACTATTTTCATATTAGGGACTATTTATTTTAATTTTCATCATCAAAAGACTTTAATAAAAATGGTCGAATTTCATAAAAAGTAAAATACTGATATAAAAATTAAAATAACAATATGAAAAATTTGCTACGATGCAAACATATGTTTATGGTATATGTATTAATACAAAATATATTATTTATAATAAGTAATTGAATTGTGTACCAGAGTATAACAAGAAAGTGGCACAGAGGGATCATTTCCACCTGATTAGTTTAATCCACTATTTTTTTTCTTTTTCATATAAGGAAAAAAAATATCTTGAACAAATTTTTTGTCCACGAATTTGATACAAATGTAATCCTTTTTTAAAAAAATATTTTTATTTTGTTTACCCACTTGATAAGAATTGCTAATATTGCAAATTTTCCAGTCGGAGAAATAATAAGAAGATACCTAAATGAGGAATTCGTGAAGAAATTTATGAACTTTTGTCATGTTGTGTGATACAACATTTAAATCCTAAGGAATGGCTACAAGTAATTCTTAATTTTAGTTACTTAAATTTTAACTTTCCACAGCTAAAGTATTGTTATTTGTCATCTCCGTTTGATTTTTTACTGCCTATCTACAAGGGCGAATCTAGGGTGAGGGCCATTGGGCCTTGGCCCCTACTGGCCTCACCCTAGGTCATGTTTTATATATACATTTTACTTAAATTTAATTAAATTACACAATAAATAATGATATTTTGTATTATTTTTACAAAATTTTGTTTTGCTTAATTTACTTTCTCTTAATTGTATTTTGGGTTGATTATAGGGTCCATGTTTGAAGTGAATTCATAATAGTAGGTGATTTATTGTAAAAAAAAATCAAATAAATTTGCAATTTATATAAATTTTAATCATGTATAATGCATAAATTTATATAACATAATGGTCAGAAGATATATATTCCTCGTGTGTTCAAAAAGATGCATGAACATTTTTTTTTTCTTTTGTGCTTATAGGCATTTTGTTGAAAATTTTTAATTAAAAATGCTAGGTTTGATTTTTCTTATTGATTTAATAGCTATAGAAAAAGTTTTTAAATGTGTAGCTCTTGAATGTATGAGTATTAATCTAATTTAATCATATATATTAATGCAGAAGAGATTTCAGGCACTTGTTTTTTTTTTTGTAGAAGTTGAATTTGAGAATTGAAAAAAAAAAAAAGAACTCATTTAGACCACCGTAATTTTTGCCGTGTAATTTTTAATTTTCACTTATTTACCATCAATCTTCAGATATTGATACATATTTAAATGAATTTAAAAAGTTGTTAATAGAAGATAATTTTTATTACATTTTTTGTTGCGATATAGTTTGTTTTGTGAGAGTCCTATAATTTTAATATTCTGCGTTTGGTTCTTAATCAGATTTGTATCTTATCAAATTTTTTAAAAATAACAAACAGAAGATAAAGTGTATCCATATTTTGTTGGGATATGATTTGTTGTGTAAGAGTCCAATATTTGATCGACTATAAAATGCTTACCAGTCAGTATTAAGAATCGATACTGCTCAAACATCTCAGCCTCTCAGGTATTTCTCTCGATTATTTCTTTTTTGTTCATATGTTTTTTTTATAGTTTTTCGGTTTGAATTTATTTTAAATTATTCATAAGAATTACATATTTTAATTTTTTGCAACTTTTGACGAGCATCATTTTTAATTTGTAGTTTTGGAGATGAAAGACGATGGCTTTCTAAGTTGCTCTAAAGGGATACTTTTGGAATTTTCTGGTGGCTGTGATATAGGCACCGATTTCCTTTTTCATCAAGAAGAACTTCATCCGAATGATTAGAACACGCTTATGGGAATGATTAGTTCATCCGAATTTATTCGGATTGTCTCAGGTCGGATTTTTTTCACAGTTTTTTTCCTTCATTTGCATTTCTCATAAGTTGTTAAGATAATTGTAATTGAGTTTGTTAATTTTATCGGATCACATGATTAGCAAAGAATCATTTTCAATTTTAAGCCTCGCAAACTCATTCATCATCATCGACACTTGAACAGCTCTCTGAGGTTCTTTGTTATCGTCGTCCCCAATTAAGCTTAGAAGATATATTTATCGAGGGTAGAGAACTACAACCACTCCTAAGTTAGCAAAAAATAAAAATAAAAATACTAGAGAGTCAAGATGTACTTACAGATGATGAAGACGATCGATTGGATGTAGATGGAGTTAGTAAAGGCAATATGTTACTTAATGTTCATAGTGTTGCACTAATTAATGATCTACTTTTTGTAATATTATTTTGCAAAAATCATCATGAACAGAATATATCCACATTGGTGATCCGTCGTATACAAGTAAATCGTTTGGAGCACATATACAGTTGGATGAGAGGACGCCAAAGAATGCTCTCAAAAAGGAGACTTCAAAATTCTCTTTCTGTTATATGAAAGGAAAAAATCAAACTACCTCATACAACGGTGAAAAGTTTGTTTGTGCATTCAGTTTTGGTATCCTATACAATAGTGAAAAGTTTGTCTATGCAGATGTTGAGTCGGATGACGAACTTGGCGATGAAGACGTAAGTGAGCAAGGAGCAGGTAAAACAAGGAAGCGACGAGTACATCTAACTATGAAAAAGTGGTTTGCTTTTAGGATTCAAAAGAGACTTAACGAGAGCTCACATTTTATGTATGGAAGAAAAATTCTCCACCAATTTTTAGTTGATGCATATACAATGATTGAGGCACAGAGGTTAAGTTTCATAACAAGAAATTAGGCTAAATTAAGAAGTGCAAACTATAACAAGATATAGTCTGCAATGGAAGCTGGGAACAAAGATAATACTAAACTCTGGAATTATACAGTTCTACCTTCCTCATTAACCGGAGGTCCAAGGTAGTTTTCGAGTTATATTTTTTATGTTTTATATTGAGTTTAATATTAACGTCATTTAATTTTTGATTAATCAATGTAGTCTTATAATCAAAATATTACTTAAAATTATAATATGTCAGGTACATGGAACAACATTACATAGATGCTATGGCCATATGTAACCATTTCGAATATCCGAATCTTTTTGTAACTTTCACTTGCAATTACAAGTGGCCGAAAATTATCAGAAATTGTAGAAAAAGAGGGCTTAGACCAGGAGATAGGTCAGACATCATCACAAAAGTGTTTAAGATGAAACTTGATCGTTTCATCAAAGAGGTCAAGTCTTCAGAAATATTTGGAAGGGTACAATAGGGTATGTTGTTTTTTAAAAAATTTTCCTATTTCGATCATTTATCGTGTATTTCTTAACCATATTTTTTAACATTTTTTTCTTATACTCAATATATTTTTATGTATAAGTAGTTTTGTATACAGTTAAGCTCCAGAAGCGAGGCCTTCCACGTGTTCATGTTTTATTCTGGATACACCCGGAGGACATGCTAACAAATCCGAATGATTTTGACAAGGTAATATCGCCAGAGATACCAGATAAGGAGGATGATCCCGAGCTCCATGAACTTGTGAAAGATTATATGATGCACGGTCCATGCGGTAACGTGAGACCAAATTGCCCTTGCATGGAGAATGGTCATTGTTCTAAGATATATCCAATGGATTTTTCAGAAGTCAGCTATTCTGATGATAATGGATTTCCTGATTACAGAAGACGTGGCACTGGTGTAACAGTCTTAAGAAGCAAAATTAAGCTGGAGAATCGTTCGGTTGTTCCATATATAATGGAAAACTTCAGAAGATGTTTCAGGCTGATATAAACATTGAATGGTGCAATCAAATGTAAGAGGTAAAATATTTGTTCAAATACATAAACAAAGGACCAGATAGAATAACTGTAGAATTTGAGAATCAGGATCTACTGAAATTTGTTAAAAATCATGATGAAGTTATAAAACATTATGATTGTAGATATATATCAGTTTGCGAGACAATATGGAGATTATATGGTTTTTCTATTCATAATCAAACAATACCGGTCGAGAGACTTTCATTTCATCTTCCTAATGAGCAATTTCTGATCTTCAAGGAGTGAGCTGACATTAAAGATGTTATGGATCCAACAGGTAAAACTACACTTACGCATACTAAATGGATGGGATGTAATAAAAAAATATCCAGAAGCTCAAAACTTGACCTACATTGAATTTCCAAGCAAGTTTGTGTTGAGTAGGGCGTTGAAAACTTGGGTACCTAGAAAGAGAGGATTACGTATTGGTCGACTTCATAATGTCCCTTTTGGATCTGGTGATATTTATTACTTGAGAATGCTATTAGAAGTGTAGTAAAAGACCTGACGTCTTATGATGATATAAAGACAGTAAATGGTAAAGTTCATTTGCATTAGGTATGTTGGAAGACGATCGTGAATATATTGTTAGCATAGAGGAAGTAGTTAAGTATGGCAACTCGCACTATTTGAGGGAACTATTTGCTAATATGTTGGTTGGAAAATGTCTAACTGACCATGTCGCGTGTGGGAAGCGACTTAGAAGCATATGACTGACTATATATTGCACAAACACAGAAGATTTTGCGGTCCTCATTCAAGTAAGTTTTTCATTTGCACATTTAAATTATATATATATGTTGTTTTATTATACCCAATTAATATTTATTTTTAATCTATTACTTAATGTGTAATTCTATTTTTTAACAAGTAGGGATTCAATTGACAGAGAAAGAGTTGCATAATAATGCATTGAACGAGGTCGAAAAATTCTTAAAAAAATTGGGGAAGAGTTTGAAGTTATATGAGCAGATGCCATATCTGCACTATTACATCGACCTTAATGTGG